GTACGAAGGGGCTGCTCATTTGCAATCATTTTGTCCAGGGGTTCCAACATGGCATGCCCGTGATCCACCCGGATAGGGTGTAGACTAGACACATGGGGAACAATTCCATGTTGGAACTCCTACAAGGGCTTGTTATTGTGTTACCTTTGTGGTGTGGGGCAAGCCTTTCATTTTTGAAGTTGTCCCGTGTTACAACAATTAGACACCATGTCCTTCTCATTCGGGACTCATGTGCTGTAGTCATCCAGCGCGTTTTTGTCCCGTCACCCAATAAGGTGAGCATTGCAGAAGCCTTTCACCATGCTTGGAGTAGCTTTGGCTGTGGAAAGATGTTCTTTACCAAGAGCGATGTTCGAATCCGCACCGGCCGAAAGACATGCTTCACACTTTGGGCCGGCTCGGAGGGTGGGAAACACCTCTATCCCTGGGGCTTCTTCGACTCCAGAACTCGGAGACAGGACGTGCCTGATCTGGAGCGCTTGATTGGCCTCCGTGGGTACCTGCCCTTTGGGGCGTGCCGCTTCCTGGCCCCGGGATGTAGCTACGCCACCGTCTTGTTGGACCCTGTCGCGCGCTATTTGACTCATGTGCACTGGGAGTGTACCCATGGCCATCCCTTCAAGGAGTGTGAATCCTTGGCAGAGTACACGCACAAGGCCATAAGGGGCCAGGTGGGCTTTTATGGCATTGACAACTATCAGACACGGATGCTCGCGGCTTGGCTTTTCGATTTGGATCCCTGAAATGATCGCTGATGGTCGCTGTTCTCTTGGGCTCATGACATGATTCCGCCAGGTACCCCAAGTCCGTGAACGAAGTCAGAGATGTTCAATTTTTGGGGAAACTCTTAAAATACAGGGCCAATTCCATCAGGATCCATCATGTGTCATTCCTGGCGTTTTATGTATCATTGATCTACACCTTCTTTGTCCTTCTATATACATGTACCAGTTCAACTCAACCTTCACCCCGTTCCTCCCATTACCCGGTCACCCGAGAGCCTTGCCGATCCGGTCCGGGTGCGAAAACGGCCCGTCTCGTCCTCCGGCTTGGCGCGAGGCCGGCGATGGCGCGGAGGATCCAGGTGGTGCACCGTGCTTCGTCCCAGAGAGGTGTCACCAACAGCCGCTCTTCGAGGTCCACGGCCCGCAGCTCCGCCAGGCCGCTCGCGGTCCCGCGACCGGGTCGCTCGGGGGAGGGTGTGGCGACACCGGAGGAGGCGCAAACGAAGAGGTGCGATCAAGTGCCACGGGGTGATGGTTTGGGTCAATGGTTATGACAGTTATTATGAGCTGTGAGTGTAATGGTTCCCAGCTATAGTATTGATGAGTTCCTGTGTTTGACTTTTGGTCGGTCTCGTAGGGCCATTGTGCCAGGCCATACACAACCTGGCTTTTCACTATGCCGTTTGGGGTCTTCTTGATGATCTCCGCGCTTTCGCTCATCAGGCATGGCGGCAACATGCCACATCATGCCACTGCTTTTTGTGGGCCTGGCCACCTGTTGGGATCTTGCACCCTCACATTGTGTGCTCATGATGGGGTATCTATCTATCTACAGTAGAGGACTGCCAGATAGAATATGATGTTCATTGAATTTCAATAATTGCTGCTTTAAGTTAATGCACCAAACCTTCCAAAATACATGACCCTGGGGATGACCCTCGCAGATAGAATATGTGCCTTTCAGAAAGCAGGGGAACATATCCTAGCTGTTAGTCCAAAGCCACCAGACCTTGCAGAGACAAAGCTAGGCCTCCAAACCTAATAGCGATGGCCTCCAACCTGATAGCAATGGCGATGGCCTCCAAGATAAGAGCGATGGCCTCGTTGCGTCTTTATATTCTAACTGCATGTGGTTTCCGATCTTCCCCATGCTCTGTGTAAAGCCGAATTCTAACTGGGATTTAAAACACAAGAGCTTCTAACTGCTCGTCCGCCATAGTAAGAGGATGTGGGAGACAGCCAGACATGGCCGATCAGCTGACTGATTGCCACCAAAATGCCCTCAACACGCCCAACATGGCACCTCCACTTCATGGCTTGTGATCAATGCAGCAAGGAGGTGTAGCCGGTGTAGCTCCTGGAACGCCGGTCAGATCGAGATCGCAGAGTGAAGGGATCCCAGCAAATCAACAAGCAAGGCTGAGAGTGGAGCCCTCAACCTCTTGCCACCCCTCACATGGACGCGGCCAATCACACGGCCGGTCTCGAAGGTCCCAGGGTCCGCACTGGATGACCAAGAAGGTCAGAATCGTTTCACCTTTTAAAGCATCATGTGTATAGACATGTATATATAGACTGTAGACTCTTGAATTTTTCTCAACCCCCCCAAGCCTGAAGAGGATGTCCAATTTAAATGTACTTGTTGTACGCTTTTGCAGGTGGCCAAGGTCTATGGTTACTTCCTGCGCTTGAGCCCGGCCATTGCGCCGGAGCTGGGGAACTTCTCCATGGACTTGGTGGATGCTCAGGCCTAAGTCCTAAGCCGTTGAGGTGGACAGGGCGGAGGTTTGGGGGTCTAAGCCTAAGCAACAGAGGTTGAAGAACCCTATATATATATATATACATATATATATAGAGTCCCATAGGTACCCCAGGTGACGGGTCCTATTTACAGTTACTTAATGTCTAGATGTGGTAAGCTGGAAAAAAAACGGTGCATGTCTTAACTTCGATCAGTCTGGTGTGCCATCTCTTCTATAATAGGGCATTACGGCTAACGCCCTGGTGCCGCCGACCCGGACCTCCCTGTTTGGACCGATGCCACATGGGCCTATCGAGCGGTCTAAGCTGGCTATAAAAGGCGTAGCTAACCGTGATCGGCCTGTGGTGGCCAAAAGACGTGACATCTCAAGAGTCGGCTCTTCCGAAAAAGGACGCGTCGAAGTCCCAAAGTGTAGTGTTCACCCAGACATCCCAATGAGCTGAGCATAGAGATTTTTGTGAGACAGGTTTAGGTTAACAAGGTCAACCCTATACTGCTGAACTAGCCACAGTAATCGAAGTCAGTGCGAGAGGAACACAGCTTTGTTTGCTTAGCTGAAGAGCTAATACCACGAAGCCAGCATTTGTTGGACTACGAATGCCTCCAAGCCCGCCACGTTGTTCCAAAGGAAAACAGCCAGAAAGGGTGCCGAAGCGGCAGTTTCGAAACCCGTGAAACAACGATTGTATTCGCCCACGGCAAGAGGCGTGGAGGGTGCCCCACTGCCACAGCCATGAATAGGCAGCCCCGGCACAGTCGCCGCAGCCTTAGCCCATCTAATTAAGATATATATATACATACATATATGAGTGCAACATCTGTTCTGCTCCCTATTAATCAAGCCCAGCTGGAGCCCCCAATGAATACTAATTCAAAACCTGAATTCCTCATCACCCTAATCCTTTTTTTCTTGGCAGAAACCTCCCCTATTAATCAAGCCATATCAAGCCCATCTGCTCCCAGAAAGTATACAAATTGGTTTAAAGCTGCAATCAAAGCTGCCAATGTTCTCCCAAGCAATCTTTGTTCCACATTCCCTAGAAACCTCTCTAGCATCTAGCAAAAATATGTAATTTTATATTATTAATAAATTGTATCACAGTCTTAAGGTTTTCAAGCTCACAAAGGCTACCCCTCGCACAGGTCTCAGTGTTCACACAGAATCCTATCAACCATCATCCATCATCAGGTCATCGCCTTTATTAAGGGGATGTGGTCTCCAATACCTTCAATCTCAAACCTTGTTGACCTTGAAGGGGTGGTGATTAATTCGGTGTTGGCATGAAAAAATACGGTGATTGGGCAGCGTTTTTGGGCATGAAATAGCTCTTCCGAAAGAGAACAGCTAGTCACCAGACTTCTGAGTGCATTTCCACTGCGCGGCGCCAGGTGAGGAAGGAAATCGAAGAGATGAATGGAGCTGACTTGATCCTCTACCACTTCGTCCGTTGCGTCCTTGCGGCTGGTGGCCCCCGCTTTCAGACGCCCTAATGGTTCGGAGGAACAGTTCTGGGACACCAAGGGACAGAGGTGAGATGGAACTGCTAGGTGCCGAAACAGAGTTGAGCCAAGAGGAGTTCCCCGAGCCCGGGACCAGCAGCGCTCAGTCCATGGCATGTTAGCAGCCAGATATGATCCGATGCGGCCCTGGACCAGCAGATCCCAACTCTTCGGATGCCGATGCCACGCCGATGCCGGGAGGATGGTGGCATCGCAACGCCGTGCCGATCTGCGCTGCGCGGAGGGAAGAGAAGATCGATGGGGTCCACCCGAGCGGAGGATGGATGCATGTTGCTGAGAAACATCGGCCGAAGTGGCAAGTGGTGGAAGGTCTAATCCTCAGCTTATGGAAAGGAACACTCCCCTACCAGGCCCTTACCAAAACCAATGCCAAATAATGTGATTGAAGGACTTTGGATATATACTGTGATCGTGCACCACTCCCTGGCAGAGTTCCAACCTTTGTGCCCCCCTGCGGTTCGGGATCGAGCATGTATCGAACCGAACCTGTCGCTCGAACCGGACCGGTTGCTGACATCCGGTTGCGAGATTCGGCGGTTCTTGTGGCGGTTCTCCAGGCCCGAGCAACCATCTTCAGATGTTCATTCTCGAGAGTGAGAAACCGCAGCGAAATCAGCTTCTGAGTAGCTCCAGGTGAAAGAATTCATCAAACGACCCTTTATATTAAGATGTGGAACATGTGGCGTGTCCATCGTACAATTTCAATGTGAACATCAATCCACGTGAAAGTTGATGTCATGATAAATTGGATCTTAAGAGCAAATAGCAAATGAAAATTGTAAGTGAGAAAGTGGCAGATAAGCTGTCAGATTTGTTGATTGCACCTGCCATGGTAGATAGGGCATCAATATGCCAAACCAATGTGACATACAACACAATGACATGCACATGTTAATTAATGCCAAGCGGAAATTCTTGAACAGTGGCTGTCCGAAATCAATCCCTAGCCACATTAATGTATGTATACAGTATTTGTACATATTGATTCGGTCAATCATACAAGTAACTCCACTGAGACGCAATGTTGGATGGTTCTTTGCGCTCAGAAACCGTGCCACTTTGGCATCGGGGCATGACTGACGTAGCCATTGAGCTGCACAAAGCAGTGCACCCAGCAAGGTGGTGCATCACCTTTGCTGATCTCAAGTTCTTCCAGTCTGAAGTCCGTAGGGTCATCCAAGATGGGATGACCTTTCAGGAGAACTTCGAAGCTTCGTATGGGCCAAGCATGTATGTCGTGAATGAACAGTACATCAAGCCGGTCACAGCGGCTGCTGGCAAAATGAGTTGGGCATTGATGATGAATCCTGATGGGCTTGACTGCGATTTGTTTATCACTCATGCTTGGCAGGAAGATGTGTTCGAGTTCACCGATAAAGTGCTGACATCCTGGCCTTGGCGTGCACGCCATGCTTGGTGCTGTATGCTGGCAAACCCGCAGAATTTAGATATTGGCGCTTTGCTTCAGTCCCCATCAATGTCTCCTTTTGCACTTGCCCTGCAGAGCTCCAAGTACATGTTGGTGGTGCCTAACCGGCACAAGAGTGTCTACACAAGGTTGTGGTGTGGCTATGAAGCCTACTTGGCCTTCCAAAGTAACAAGATCATTCGGACAGCTTCGCCTTCCATCTGGCGAGAAGCTTTGTGTTCATGGCTCAGGATGTTTCCTGCGCTGCTGGTAGGTCTCACTATTGGCGTTGTTTCCAAAGTGGGGCAGCTGGACCTATTCTTGCAGTTCATACTGACAATGAGAATCCCAGTTTCAAAAATTCAGTGACCTTTTGGATCCTTTTGGCATCCAAAAACTGGCTCCCGAGCATCAAATCCATTCTAGATTCTAGATGAATCTTAATCAGTCTATTTATGCAAGGCCTTTTTGCCAAGTGAGGAATGATAGCGCTTTTGGCGAGCCTGGTGAGTCAACACTGTGGTTTGATGCGGCTGTGCCTGGTTGCCAACCATGTGGGCTTAGCCAGTATTTCAGTCTTTATCATCACAGATGGAACACTTTGGAGTAAATACGTTCATATTCCCTTCTCCGGGATGACAGCGCTACTGCTGGTGAATATCCATCGTATTTGCATTTGGGTCTATTTCTTGCTTGCTGAAGTTGACCGAGTGAACTGCCAAACAGAAATGGAAGAGGCGGAAGCGTTGCAAAAGCAATATCAAGGGTCAATTCGTCACGCGTCTTGCTCAGAAGTTCGAGATGAAGTGAACATTCGGCATGAGATAGGTGACCAGGTTGATGAAGTTGACAAAGTCATCCAAGTACTGTTGAAGGCAGGCATATCATCAGATGCACTTCGAGCTGCATATTTGCAGGGGGGTCGAACTTCGGCATGCTGGCTTCGTTCAATTGGCCATCCCCGTGCTTGTGCTCGGGCCTTTGTTACTGCTGGGTTGCGGGCTGGTGGGGCAATATATTGTTTTGCTTGACGAAGCAGCTGATCCAATTGCAGAAGTCTATCCATTTTGGCTACCAGTTCAATGCACATCCATTCTTGCTAGGCTGGCCTTCTTGTGTTTGTTTTGCAGACGTTCCATCGATGAACAATGTTTCATGCTGAACGTGATGGCGAAGATCGTGACGGCATTCTATGTTTTCATGTTGGAGCTGAGCACTTTGGGGAACGGAGGTTTTTGTTCTGAACTGAGCATTGTGCTGTTCATTGTGTACTCCCTTTCCTTCTTAGTGGTGCTTTTCTTCGCTGTCTTGGGCATCCGTGGCACATTGAAGTTGCTGGCCAATCCTAAAGAGTTATTGTTGTAAGCTTGTGAGCTCCCCAAATGCCCGCCCCATGAAGAAATCCTTAACTTGTCGACGTTCTTTCTTGATGTTTGCCAACCTGAGGCTACCTGGTGGCAGGCAATTGGCCCAATTCTTCTTGTCACGGCTGGTGGTCTCGGGCAACTGGAGGCTGAGTAGAACGCAGCTTGAAAGCTCCCCAGAGTGTTCGGAGGTCTTCTCCCAGTCCACGGGAGATGCGTCGGATTCTTCAGGATCCGAGAGTTCCAGCTAAACGTGGTTGAAGCTCACAGAGCAAAAAGGATCGAAACTTAGGCCGTGCACCACTATATGGCGGAGCTTCGTTCACTCTTAAGTTGCAAAAACGAGCACTTTGGATTTGGAAGAATTTATACCAACGGTTTTGAAGGTTGTCTATGATATGTCCACTTTGACCATGGAAGTTCAGCAACAAAGCATCCATCCGTTCAGGAATTAGACTTTTAATTAAGGTGCACATCCCTGTTTGCAAAGACCCTTTCCAGAGTTCGGAACTCGTCATTTCCGATGTGCGTTCACGTCTACAAAAACCGGTTCGGGTCTCAGGCTTGACGCCACCGAGTTTGGTACAGCATGGTGCACGAAGCTTCACCGGAAGCTTTGGTTAAACAGTTTGTCACAAAACCACTGAAGGTCAAACCCTCAGGCATCTACAAGCATTTGCAAGCAAGCAGCATGGACAACCATCACTTTTGTGTGGGCTTCTGGTGGCAGTTCTCCATACACCGCAAAGAAGATCATAGATGTGCTCATTCTTGAGAGTTGCCCAGAGCTGTTTCCCATTGCGGTTTGGTTCAATGAAGTAGCTGCAATCTCACATGTATGAGACCCCGAACAAGATTCTGAATTCTGACATGATTTTTCCAGCGAAAATAGCCACCATGTCGGGGTCTCCCGGATTGCAACCGGACACTCTTTGTTTGCGTGTTGTCTTGCAAGTGTGAATGAACAGGTCAGGTCCGCGTTGGTCGCCCGAGAACTATATTCATTATTATTCATTCGACATAATCTGGGAAAATTAGAGCAGTCACAGAGAACTGGCATGTCTAGGTTATTTCCTTAGGCTAGGCACAAGGCTTCCGGCTCCCATGCAATCAGTATCTCCACTGAACCGAAATGTTTGATGGTCGGCCGTGCTCGGTTACCGAGCCCGTTCCGTATCGGGGCAGGAGGGGCAGGACTGACACAGCCATAGAACTGCATGAGACAGTGCACCCAGCGAGGTGGTGCATCACCTTCTCTGATCTCAAATTCTTCCAGTCTGAAGTCCGTAGGGTCATCCAAGATGGGCTGACCTTTCAGGAGGACTTCGAAGCTTCGTATGGGCCAAGCATGTATGTCGTGAACGAACATTACATCAAGCCGGTCACAGAGGCTGCTGGCAAAATGAGCTGGGCATTGATGATGAATCCTCATGGACTTGACTGTGATTTGTTTATCACTCATGCTTGGCAGGAAGATGTGTTCGAGTTCACCGATAAAGTGCTGACATCCTGGCCTTGCCGTGCACGCCATGCTTGGTGCTGTATGCTTGCAAACCCGCAGAATTTAGATATTGGTGCTTTGCTTCAGTCCCCATCAATGTCTCCTTTTGCACTTGCCCTGCAGAGCTCCAAGTACATGTTGGTAGTGCCTAACCGGCACAAGAGTGTCTACACAAGGTTGTGGTGTGGCTATGAAGCCTACCTGGCCTTCCAAAGTAACAAGATCATTCGGACGGCTTCGCCTTCCATTTGGCGAGAAGTTTTGTTTTCATGGCTCAGGATGTTTCCTGCGCTGCTGATAGGTCTCAGTATTGGCGCTGTTTCCAGAGTGGGGCAGCTGGACCTATTCCTGCAATTCGCTTTGACAATGAGAATCTCAGTTCGTAAAATTGAGTGACTTTTTAGCATACTGAAATGCTTCCGAGCATCAAACCCCATCAAACCCATTCTATGTACTGTATTTCATAAGTCTATCTATGCAATTTTTTCCAAGCTAAAGCTGGGCAAAAGAGGAACGATGGCGCTTTTGGCGAGCCTGGTGAGTCAACACTGTGGTTTGATGCGGCTGTGCTTGGCTGCCAACCATGTGGGCCTAGCTGGTATTTCGGCTTCTTTCCTCAGAGATGGAACACTTTGGAGTAGATATGTTCATATTCCCTTTTCCGGGATGACCGCGCTGGTGCTGGTGAATGTCCACCGAATTTTGATTTTTAGTTATTTCTTACTTGCTGAAGTTGACCGAGTGAACTGCCAAACGGAAATGGAAGGGGCGGAAGCGTTGCAAAATCACTATCAAGGGTCAATTCGTCACGCATCGTGCTCAGAAGTTCGAGACGAAGTGAACATTCGTCATGAGATAGGTGACCAGGTTGATGAAGTTGACAAAGTTATCCAAGTACTGTTGAAGGCAGGCATATCATCAGATGCACTTCGAACTGCATATTTGCAGGGGGTTGAAATTCGGCATGCTGGTTTCGTTCAATTGGCCATCCCCGTGCTTGTGCTCGGGCCTTTGTTACTGACGGGTGTCGGGCTCGTGGGGCAATATATTGTTTTGCTTGATGAAGCAGCTGATCCAATTGCAGAAGTCTCTCCAGTTTGGTTGCCAGTTCAATGCACATCCATTCTTGCCAGGCTTGTCTTCTTGTGTTTGTTTTGCAGACGTTCCATCGATGAACAATGTTTCATGCTGAACGTGATGGCGAAGATTGTGACGGTCTTCTATTTTTGCGAGGTAGAGTTTAGTTCCTTGGGGAACGGCGAGTTTTTTTCTGAACTGAGCATGGTGCTGTTCATTCTGTACTCCCTTTCCTTCTTGGTGGTGCTTTTCTTCGCTGTCTTGGGCATCCGTGGCACATTGAAGTCGCTGGCACACTCAAGTCGAAGCTTTTTGTGTTTGCTCTTTAAGCTCCCCAGATGACAGCAAAAAAAACATCAATGTCCTTGTTGATGTTCTTTCTTGATGTTTGCCAACCTGAGGCTACCTGGTGGCAGGCAATTGGTGCAATTCTTCTTGTCACGGCTGGTGGTCTCGGGCAACTGGAGGCTGAGTAGAACGGAGCCCGCAGGCTCCCCAGAGTATTCAGAGGTCTTCTCCCAGTCGACAGGAGATGCGTCGGGTTCCGGATCGGAGAGTTCCAGCTAAACAGCAGGCTCTCTGGCGGATTCCGGAGCCGTGGCCACTGTGGCTTTAGTATACCAAGTGGCACCACGCAGCTAAACGTGCGAGGTGCGTCGGATTCTGATCCGAGAGTACCAGCTAAAATCAGCTAAACGTGGTTCAAGCTCACAGACTAAAAGGAATCTCCGGCTGTGCACCGCCCGGGCGGACTGTTTAGACGGAGCCTGTCGCCTGCTTTTGAAAGGATTTTGGCCGGATTTGTGCTACTGACGGTTTTGGCGGTTGTCTTATGATCCACTGTCACCATGGAAGTTCAGCAAACCATAGATTTTAATTCTCAGAAGTTTGCATGCAGCAAATCTTGTGTACGTGAAAGAAGCTCTCGCCGCTCGCGCAGGAAAGCAAGTGATTTTGTTTGCACAATATGAACTAGTTCCAGTATCAGGAATGATGAAAAAACTGGAGCATGTTGATTTTGCAAAACCTACCAATTCGGCAGTCCCCTAATTTTCTTTAACAAATCTATTTCTCAAGAAGTTTGATGATGCAATGATGCATCTCCACTGAAATGCGATGTTGGATGGTCAGCAGCGGCCGAGTACCGCGCCAGTTCGGTATCGGGGCGTGACTGACATAGCCATAGAACTGCATGAGACAGTGCACCCAGCAAGGTGGTGCATCACCTTTGCTGATCTCAAGTTCTTCCGGTCTGAAGTCCATAAGGCCATCCAAGATGGCCAGAACTTTCAGGAGAACTTCTCAGAGTATGGGCCAAGCATTTATGCAGTGAATGAACATTACATCAAGCCGGTCACAGCGGCTGCTGGCAAGATGAGCTGGGCGTTGATGATGAATCCTCATGGACTTGACTGCGATTTGTTTATCACTCATGCTTGGCAGGAAGATGTGTTCGAGTTCACCGATAAAGTGCTGACATCCTGGCCTTGGCGTGCACGCCATGCTTGGTGCTGTATGCTTGCAAACCCGCAGAATTTAGATATTGGTGCTTTGCTTCAGTCCCCATCAATGTCTCCTTTTGCACTTGCCCTGCAGAGCTCCAAGTACATGTTGGTGGTGCCTAACCGGCACAAGAGTGTCTACACAAGGTTGTGGTGTGGCTATGAAGCCTACCTGGCCTTTCAAAGTAACAAGATCATTCGGACGGCTTCGCCTTCCATTTGGCGAGAAGTTTTGTTTTCATGGCTCAGGATGTTTCCTGCGCTGCTGATAGGTCTCATAGTCGGCTTGCTCTTCAATTTTGAGCAGGTGGCTCCATTCCTGAAGTTTATACTGATAATGAGAATCTCAGTTGGCTAAGTTGAGTGACCTTTTAGCATCCTGAATTTGGTCTTGCGGTGTCAAAACAATTTTGAAGAAACCTTGTTTCCACAACCTTTCCCCGCCGAATGCCGCACAAGTGAGGAATGATAGCGCTTTTTGCAAGCCTGGTGAGTCAACACTGTGGTCAGATGCGACTGTGCTTGGTTGCCAACCATGTGGGCCTAGCCAGTACTTCGGCGGCTTTTGTCACAAGTGGAACACTTAAAAAACAATTTCAATTTCTTCCTCTCCCGGGGTGGACAACGTATGTTGTTGTCAATTTCCAACGTATTTGCATTTGGCTCTATTTCTTACTTGCTGAAGTTGACCGCGTGAACTGCCAAACAGAAATGGAAGAGGCAGAAGCGTTGCAAAAGCAATATCAAGGGTCAATTCGTCACGCATCTTGCTCAGAAGTTCGTGACGAGGAGAACATTCGGCATGAGATGGGTGACCAGGTTGATGAAGTTGACCAAGTAATCCAAGTTCTGTTGAAGGCAGGTATGACATCAGATGCACTTCGAGCCGCATATTTGCAGGGGGTTGAACTTCGTCATGCTGGCTTCGTTCAAGTGGCAATCCCCGTGCTTGTGCTCGGGCCTTTGTTACTGTTGGGTTGTGGGCTGTTGGGGCAATACTTTGTCGTGCTTCATGAAACTGGTCATCCACTTGCAGAAGTCTATACACTTTGGGCGTCCATTCAATTCACATCAATCCTTGCTAGGCTTGCCTTCTTGTGTTTGTTTGTCAGACGCTCCATCGATGAAAGATGTTTCATGCTGAACGTGATGGCAAAGATTGTGACAGTATTCTACTTTTGCCTGGTGGAGCTAAGTTCTTTGGGGAGTTTTTCCGAACTGAACACCGTACCGTTCATTGTGTACTCCCTTTCCTTCTTGGTGGTGCTTTTCTTCGCTGTCTTGGGCATCCGTGGCACATTGAAGTTGCTGGCCAATCCTAAAGAGTTATTGTTGTTAGCTTTTGAGCTCCCCAGATGCCCGCCCCATGAAGAAATCCTTAACTTGTCGACGTTCTTTCTTGATGTTTGCCAACCTGAGGCTACCTGGTGGCAGGCAATTGGCCCAATTCTTCTTGTCACGGCTGGTGGTCTCGGGCAACTGGAGGCTGAGTAGAACGGAGCTTGAAAGCTCCCCAGAGTGTTCGGAGGTCTTCTCCCAGTCCACGGGAGATGCGTCGGATTCTTCAGGATCCGACAGTTCCAGCTAAACGTGGTTGAAGCTCACAGACCAAAAAAGGATCGACACTTAGGCGTCAACTGAGGCTGTGTGCACCGTTTTGTGGAAAAGTCCTACTTTAGGGCCAGACCTGCAGTCATCATTTGTATGCAGTGGTTTCAGATTAGATGATCTGCGCAGACCCGCAGATGTCTTTTAGATGGGGGTCCATATAAACCTCCTTAATTATCTTAATTTTGGGCATTGCACCATCTACTCTCAATCCATCTCAATCCACTGTACACTGTAAACCACCACTTGGCGCCTATGAATGACTCTGAAGGTTCAGCAACATTCAGCAGCAAAGCTTCCATCCACTCCGGAGGTGAATCCTCTTTCTCTAGGATTCTTCTACTAAGCGTATGTTAGACCACAAAACCATGAAGAACACACATGACAGGTCTTGGAGGCTAGGGCTGGACATCATTCGATCCCTCGTTCGTTTTCCTCGCTCGGCACGCGGAAGCGGTGCACTCACGTCTACACTCGCGCCGATGTGGCGGAGAGCCATGAAGGTCCCATTTGGGTTAAGGCTAACACATGGGTTTTCAGAGGACCAATGGCAGCCAGATGGCACAATCCCAAGTTCGGTGATTCGAACCGGTGAACAAATGCAGAGAAGATTTAGGTGTGTGCCATCTATTCTGAAACCACTAAGCATGTACTGCACTGAAGGTGATATAAACAGATACAAACCCTCGAAGTATCCACGGACGAGGGGACTAAGCAAAGTCTGAACACACATGGGACGTTTGGTTTGCGGACGAGGTGGAGAATCAATGTCTCACCTCACCGCAGCTGCCGCAGCTGTTTGCTGAAAGCTCAGGTGGTTTTTT